AATAATTACGTTTGAGCTGTGCTTACTTTATTTCGAGCCTTGATCAGAAGAATTCTTAATATTAAAAACATCTAAGCAAATTATAAACTATTTATACTTATTACAGATCTTATATTTATTTTTAATTAGTAGAGTTATTGTAGTTTTTGTCCTTGAGAGTGATAGGTGAAAATGGTGACGCGATGGGTCTGGATTTTGTTCTTTTGTTTTTCAGGCTCGATTATGCGTAGTTAGTTCGGTGAACTGCTACGTCGGTTGGGCTTGGGCTTGTTTTTGGAATGTATTTAAAAAGCCATGATGACACGTTGCATTTATTGCCGTTGAGTAAAGGTGTGACCTGATGTTTGTGTATTTCGATGCTCTCTGCCGTTTCTAATTTCCAGCTATAGCTTATGTTTTTGATTATTTGGATGTTATTTTTGTCGATGTGGTGATTTTCTGTTATATGTCTGGTGAAATCTGATTTTATATAAGGGGTTTTTCGTTGATTCTCTTGCTTATTTAAGGTGTTCTTTAAGTCTTACTGATAAGGGTCTTTTTGTTTGTCCGATGTATAATTTGTTGCGGGAACTGCAGTTGATCTTTTATACTTCTCCTTTTTCTAAGGACCTTTTGTGGATAGTAGTAGATTTTCGAGTTGATATTGCTTACTGGAGTAAACTAAGTTGATATTGAATATTTTTAAATTGATTTTTCGTAGGACCTTTGGAGATGATGTTGTTGTACACTACAGCGACTTTTCTTTGTTTTGATTTTTCTGTTGTTAATGTCGTCATGTTTCTGCAATGATATTGTCTGTATTTCTTCTTTATGATTCTGTCGATAGTGTTCTGGGCATATCCGTTAATGTTCGCTATTTTTTTAATATGTTGATGGTTTCTTCATGGATAGCTGCTTCTGTGAGGCATAATTTTAGTATTCTACTTATCATGCCAGCCTTCCACCACATGATAGAGTGGCTGTATAAAATAAAATTGGGTTCTATATATTAATTAATAAATGGATTCAAATGGATTCTGACAAAAGTAAAGCTCACTTTTTTGTATCTATTCATGGTGGGTGATGTAATGATAGTGTGGAGAGATGAGGGTATTTAATGTAATTTTTTTGTATATAGACCGAAATATCGGCGTAGTATATGTTATTGGCCATCATTATTTCGAATAATGATCCATGATTAGTAAAAATATTTAAATAGGAGTTTTATATCTAGACGTACCCAATAGGCACTTCAACATAGTGGAAACTGCTATTAAATTAAGGGTCATTACAGTTTTCGACTTTTCTAAATTGTACAATAGCTTTTATCCTTAATTATTTGAGTAGATTCTTATAAAAATGTTTGTTTTAATACAAGATTTTTATATCCAATAGGAAAGGCGGTAATATCTTTTACCTAAACCCCGGCAAGGACCCGAAATACCCGCAGAACTGGCGCCCGATTAGCTCTGGGTAAGTTAGCTGAAAGAGTGATCCTAGATAGACTTAAAACTTCGGTGAACTCGCTGAATATTCTCCCCGATGAGCAATGATACAGTCTGCTCTGAGCAGAAGGAAATCAACGGGTATGATTACTTTTGACATCGCCAAGGCATTTGACAAGGTGTGGCACGACGGCCTTATAGTGAAAATGTCTCGTTTTGGTATCCCAGTCGGGTTGATCAAAATCCTTGGCAGCTTCCTTCGCGAAAGAATGTTCCGTGTAAGAATCAACAGTACCACCTCATCAGTACGAATAATAGAAGCGGGTGTTCCTCAAGGATCCCCGCTCTCCCCCTTGTTGTGCAACATCTACACGTCTGACATCCCAATGCTAAGTCCTTCGGTATTATCTTTATATTTAAGTTGAAA